AAAAAAAAAAAGATTTGTATAAAATAAAGCTGTTTAAAATAGAAATTAAACAGCATGTAAAAGGAAAACATGAATCATGTACACTGTAGACTAACATAAATGCTACACATTTTATTTAGTTTAGAGTTTTCTGATAACCAAGACAAAAATGATAAACTGGATGTGCAAATCTTTATTAGCTTATCAATTATTAAAGTCTGTGAAACACATAAAATTTTTATGAAGCTTTGTTGAAACTAATTTTTATGAAGCTTTGTTGAAACTAGTAGTACATTCAAGTTTAGGACAAAGTGTATGCCACCATCATGAAAAAAATTAACATTCAGCTTTTGATTAACACATACAATCAACAGTAATTCCATTCCACCAGTCTCATTCATACCTATACTAGCCTCCTTTTTGCATTTATTCTTCCCTCCTCTTTTTTCCTTATCCTATAAAATCAGATTGTAATCCCAGCACTTTGGGAGGCTGGGGCAGGTGGATCACCTGAGGTCAAGAGTTGGAGACAAGCCTAGACAGCATAGTGAAACCCCGTCTCTACTAAAAATACAAAAATTAGCCGGGCGTGGTGGCTCATGCCTGTAATCCCAGCTACTCAGGAGGCTGAGGCAGGAGAACTGCTTGAGCCCTTGGGTGGAGGTTGCAGTGAGCCGAGATTGCAGCACTGTACTCCAGCCTGCGCCACATAGTGAGACTCTGTCTCAAAAAAAAAAAAAATCACGATAACTACTGACATTTAAAAAAATGTGATTTCCTTCATACGCACTGAAAAGCCTCCCCAATCCCCAGTGAGTGTCAGTGGAAACCACACAGGGAGCCTGGTTTCCGCCCCAGTTGGCAGTAATGAGGTGCCCATCTCCATCTACTCTGGAGTGGTATCGAAGGAGGCCTACTTGACATTCAGGACTTGCATTACTGCCTCATGACAATTAGGCCACATGCCCTACTAATGTCAGTGGAGGCCACATGGGGAGAGTAATGAAAATGGAAGCCTGGTGAGGAGCCAGAATGCCCACTCTACCCAGCAGTAACAAGAAACTCCCTGCCCCTCCCCTCAAGTGTCAGAGTGAGGAACATGAATTTCTACTTCCATCTGGCAGTAATGAAGTGGTACCTCCCACCACTTCCCCTCATGGAGCATTGTCAAAAGGAGCCAGATAAAAGGATTAAATAAAATCTAGAGCCTCATAACATGATATGCAAGATGTCCAGGCTGCAATATATTAAAAAATCACTCATCATACCAAGAACTAGGAAGATCTCAAACTGAATTAAAAAAAGACAATCCGCAGATGCTCAACATTGAGGAACGTGTTAGGATTATCTGACAAAGATTTTTAAACAGGACCTTGTCAATACTTCAGTGAGCAATTATGAACACGCTTGAAACAAATGAAAAAACAGAAGGTCTCAGCAAAGAAATAGAAATATCAAGACCCAAATGGAAAGTTTAAGAAGTGAAAAATACAATAACCAAAATAAACTAAATGAATAAAATCAATAGGAGAATGGAGGGGACAGAGGAATCAGAGAATTGGAAGCCAGAAAATAGAATTCTTCAATCCCGCCGGGTGCTGTGGCTCACGCCTGTAATCTCAGCACTTTGGGAGGCTGAGGTGGGTGGATAATCTGAGGTCAGGAGTTCAAGACCAGCCTGGCCAACACGGTGAAACGCCATCTCTACTAAAAATTCAAAAAAATTAGCTGGGCGTGGTGGCGTGTGCCTGTAATCCCAGCTACTCAGGAGGCAAAAGCAGAATTGCTTGAACCCAGGAGGGGTTGTTTGTAATATTCCTGTATCCTTTTGATATCTGTAAAACCTGTAATAATGTACACCATTTCATTCCTGATAGTGTAATTTGTAACTTCTCTCTTGTTAGTAAGTTTGTCAGTTTTATTAATCTTTTCAAAGAACCAGCTCTTTTTTTCTCTTTTCATTTAAATTGATTTTTGCTCTTTATTTCCTTCATTGGGTTCATTTTGCTTTTCTTTTTTAGGTGCTTGAGGTAGGAGGAGCTTGGATTACTGATTTAAGACCCTTCTTCCTTTTCCTTCCCTATCCCTTTCCCTTTCCTTCCCTTTTCCTTTCCCTTCCCTTCCCTTTCCCGTCCCTTCCCTTCCCCTTCTATAGTTCACATCAAAAAAGAACACAGATTTGATTTCCTTCCTGGAATGCCAAAATTTGTTGTTCTTTTTTAAAAAAATTCCATCCTTGTATGTCTTTGGGTTATCAACCAGAGGT